ATTCTGTGAGATTTCCTTGAAAATTCCTAGGCCTTCTAACTGAATTTTTTATTTTCATTATCCCATTATGAGTTTTCAAGAACTTTTAAATAGTTATTCTTTTTTTTATAGTATTCAGTTCTAGTTTGATCTTCTTTTATAGTAGTTTTTTTATTTATGTGCCTCTGCTCCCTGCACTATGCATTTTCTCTAAGTCCCTTTTTGTTTGTCTCTCTTGGTTGCTCATTCAAAAAGGGCAAGGAATAAATAAATAAACATATGGCAGTACCACCTGTTTGCTATCAAAGTAATGGGAATATATCACCTTACTTTCTTTTTTTTTTTTTTTTTTAGCTCTGATACTAATGTGTCTATTTTTTGGTTAGTTATGTGTCAGATACTTGCCCATTGAAATTTACTTGACTCACAAGTCCCATAGGTGCTCTGCTTTGGGGCCTAAGTTGTACTGCAAGGGGTCCTTTCTCTTACCTTTTCGTGCTTCTGTTTGATGTGCTTTTGCTTGTTGATCTGCAGCTGCCTCCCACTGCTTGAGGCCATGCATCATTGCATGGGTCAAGGTTCACTGAGCCCTTAGGCACTCATCAGAGGGTCCTTCTGTGCAGGTGGATGGGCTTTGCTTAGAGAGTCTGTTTGAGGTAAAGAAATGTTCATAACGATTCTGCAATTCCACTCCTTCACGTGTACCCCAAAAGATTAAAAACAGGTATTCAAGCAAAAACTATACATGAATGTCTGTTCATTTATTGAGGTAGGGTATCACTGTATTGCCCAGGCTGGAGTGCAGTGGCATCTTCATAGCTCACAGCAGCCTCAAACTCCTGAGCTCAAGTGATCTTGAGCCTCATCCTCCTGAGTAGCTGAGACGACAGTAGTGCACTGTCACATCTAAGTCTTTCTTCTGTTTTTTGTAGAGACAGGGTCTTGCTGTGTTGCCCAGGCTGTCTGAAATACTTGGCCTCAAGTGATCCTCCCACCTTCACCTTCCAAAATACTGAGATTATAGGCATGAACCACCCCACCTGTCCTTACACAAATGCTTAAAGCTGCACCATTCGCGATAGTCAGAAAGTGAAAACAAATCAAATGTTCAAAAAAAAAATAAATAAAAACAAAACAAAAGGGTGGTGCCTGTGGCTCAAAGGAGTAGGGCATGGGCCCCATATACTGGAGGTGGCGGGTTCAAACTCAGCCCCAGCCCAAAAAAACAAAACAAACAAACAAAAATAACAAATGTTCATCAACTAAGAATGGATAAACAAAATACAGTATATCCATATAATGGGATGTTATTTGGCTACAAAAGGAGTGAAGTGTCTCCGTGCCCCATAGGTCAGTGGTTAGAGTGCCGGCCACCTGCACCGGGGCTGGCGGGTTCTAACCTGGCTGGGGCCTGCTAAACAACAATGGCAACTACAATGACAACAACAACAAAAAATAGCTGGGCATTGTGGCAGGCATCTGCATGCCCCGCTACTTGGGAGGCTGAGGCAAGAGAATCACTTAAGATGAGTTCAAAGTTGCTGTGATCTGTGATGCCACAGCACTCTACCAAGGACAACATAATGAGACTATCTCAAAAAAGAAAAAAAAAAGGAGTGAAGTTTTGATATATGCAAGGAGATGGATGTTACAACGTTGTAAACATTAATGCTAAGTGAAAGAAGCCTAAATGTCCAGAACAGGCAAATACGTAGACTCTGCATAGCTGACCACCTCCCTGCATGGTCTACTTCCTTAAGTTCACCCTGGTTTTCCTAGACTAGACATGCACCACATGTATGTATCAGTACAGCAGGCCAAGTTCCTTATGTTGACCACCTCTGTATGGTGACCAGTTTGTTCCAGCCCTTTGGGCGGTCAGCTTACAGATGTTCTACTGTAATTGGCAAACTTCTTTTCCTCAGCCTTCCTGGTGACATCACTTATCTCTGTCGTATCTGTTCCTTGGCACAGGTTATGTTTACATGATTCTCATTTCTCCAGATTATATTAGTCAGGTTTCTTACTTCATTTGCACCTGGGTCTCTCCATACATTTGCCATTAGAATGCCATCCTTTGTGCCTTAAGTGTATACAGACCAAATGTCTGTCTCTTCCGTGGTTCCCTCTTCCCCTTTGCCTGAAGAATTCAAATCCTGTGATGGTGACAGCTTTCTTGGAAACTCTCTTGACCACTTTAAGTCCATTTGTTCTTTTTTATTGTGTTACTGGCTACAGAGCCAAATAGGTTGTCTTTATCAGTTCTTAACTGTTTTCCTGTGGCTTCATTTGCCCCTCCACCTCTGGTAAGGTGGGGCTTCTCACGGTCTCCTTGTCTGCTGGGCTCTCACGCTTTTCCCATAGAGACCATGGCTAGAAACCACTTTTGTTTTGTGCTGGCCGTCTTGTTATCATCTCTTTAGTCAAAAGGTTAAGGAAAACCAGGAAGTAGTTATTCAACTCTGCCTTTTCATCTCGATACCTATTCTAATAATGTTGTTTACTTAATAAGTACAGAACACACCCATACTTCTTAGTCATGTTACCAGCAGATGTGAAGCAGAGCATTGAATTAAAGGATAAATAATTAAAAAGTTGATGGCTCTCCAAAAATACTCAGAGCTCTTTATGCATCTTACTAAAATAAATTGCTATATATGGCTTTGAATTCATAGGCAAGAACAATTTCATGCATAATATTACATATGAGTTCTTAATAAGGTCCTTTTGTATACTTTTATACTGTAATTACTTAATTTTAGATACATTAGAGGCAAATCTTTAAGTGATATTTTAAGGAAGATTTTTAATTTTAAAATTAAAATAGTTATATAATTTTTATTATAAAGTAATATATATGTACTATAAAGACTTTTATTCTCATTCTTTATTTTTTATAAATATGTATTTTTTATTTTTTTATTTTTTTTGAGACATGGTCTTGTTCTGTCATCCAGGTAGAGTGCAGTGGTGTCATCATAGCTACTGCAACCTCCAAATCTTGGGCTCAGGTGATCCTCTTGCCTCCGCCTCCTGAGTAGCTGAGACTACAGGTGCATGCCTCACACTAGGCTAATTTTCTTTTTTTCTTTTTTTTTTTTGAGACAGAACCTCAAGCTGTCACCCTGGGTAGAATACTGTGGCATCACAGCTCATAGCAACCTCCAACTCCTGGGCTTAAGCGATTCTCTTGCCCAAGTAGCTGGGACCACAGGCACCTACCATAACACATTTTAGAGATGTGTCAGGTCCATCAGTGAGGGAAATGTTGATATTTGCAATTTGGATTGTGTGATAATCATTTTTAAAAGCCAGTACTATCTTGCCAGCAGGTAAGTTGTGATACTGAGTATGCATTGGTATTTTGTTGTTTGGGAAACATGAGCAACATCATAGAGCAATATCCTTTCTTTTCTTAGATGAGTGACCGAGGAGGTGGCGTTCCATTGAGGAAAATTGACAGGCTCTTCAATTATATGTATTCAACTGCACCGCGGCCTCGTGTTGAGACATCTCGAGCAGTGCCCCTGGTAATGTGGCTGAGAGATAGTGAATGCCTTCTGTGAATTGCCTTCAACAGGCTCTGGCTGCCAAATAAATTAGTTAAGCCATTGTATAGGGTGTTCCAAAAGGGGGGGGGGGGCTTGGCGCCTGTAGCTCAGCAGCTAGGGTGCCAGCCACATATACCAGAACTGGCAGGTTCGAATCCAGCCCAGGCCTGTAAACAACAATGGCAACTACAACCAAAAAATAGCCGGTCATTGTGTGGGTGCCTGTAGTCCCAGCTACTTGGGAGGTTGTGGCAAGAGAATCGCTTAAGCACAAGAGTTTGAGGTTGCTGTGAGCTGTGACACCATGGCACTCTACCAAGGGTGACACAGTGAGACTGTTTCCCCCCCCAAAAAAGGAGAAGGGAAGCTTTTACAAAAAGCTTTGTAAATTTAAACTAGCTTTGGAATACTTTTTTTTTCTCCTTTTAATTTAAATGGGCATAAGATAAAGATTATTGGTTTGGAGTTTTTGTTGCCTAGTTTGATAGTCCCATAGCAGTGATTTTCCTGGGGTGGTAAGCCGTATTTCGATATGCTATTTCTGGAGTGAAGAATAAATTAGACTTTATTCTTAGCAGTTTAGATATCATTAGTTTATTATATAAAAGAGAGACATGGAAATTACATGATGAAAGATTTTAGAACATTAGTTGAATGGGCAGCTTCGTGTTGATGCCGTTTCAGGAATGAGTTCTTTTGATTTACATACTTTCCAAAAATGTCACCATCTCTAAATAAGAAAGAAATAATCCTTGTCTCGAACAACTTTGGCACCTCCGTATTCTGAGAGAACTTTATCTCCACCTCTCTCACTGGTCCAATCTCTCCACTCTTTCCTCTGGAGTCTGATCCAACAGCTACCCCTGTCGCCTGCAGTACTTTCCCTTGAGATCTTCCGGAAGGTTATAGTTTTGGCTGCATTCCTTCAACCAACACTCAAAGAGTGGAAAAAGTTTCTAAGTGCTTGTCCAGGCAGGATGCCCACAGCCGCCGATCATACTTCGCTTGTGCTGCTGCTTCAAGGAGAGACCCCAGAACCTTATTCTAACAGTTCTGCCTGTTGCCTAGCACGGATTCTGTGGCTGGAGCTGTAATATCCTTGAAATGATGGCTCTAGTAATGTGCTTCTCCAACTGAGATATGTAGCTTCCAGGAGCAGGTATCTATATGCCAGGGCAGACAGAAAATGTTAAATGATAAACTCAATGAGTATCTTCTTTGAGTTCCAATTTTACTCTAAAAAGTAGGGGGAGAGAAGAGAGACGCTGCTTTTGTCGTACACAGACATTATAGAATTTTTGTGGAAAGTGGCATAGCAAACCAGTCCAAACTCTGGAACTGTCTTGTTCCATTCCTGACCCCACTCCAGCCTAGGTTTGTATCCTTGGGAAAATTAGAAACTTCTCTCCCACAGTTTCCCCAACTTGAAAAATGGAGTTATTGCGAGGATTGAATTAATATATATATGTATATAGAAATGGTTGTCATAACGCCTGGCACATAGTAAATGTCATGTAAGTATTTTATTTTTTTAGGATGCAAAATTTATGTGAATTCTTAAGACAGTAGGAGGCTTGATGTGGGACAGGTTCCCCCATACATCTATGCAGCCTTATTTAGCAAGGCTAAAACTTACTAAGCTCCTGCAGAGCCTCTTTCCTCCTTTTGTGACCACATTGTCAGTGGACCCAGTCAGCAAGCAGTGGGGCAGCTGGAGAAGAGCTAGCTGGTGTCCACGGGAGTGGCCATCAGGTCTGACTCTTGCATGCCTCCTCCACGTAGGTGCTTTCTGGTGGGCATTGGTGTAGACAGGGTACCCTCACGCTGTAAGCCCATTTGGGGAGGAGGGTCCACATACCTCTCTTCCAGACCTCCTCCTCATCAGTTATCCCATTTTCTTGTTTCCAAGCCCCTGACCAGCCAGCCAGCCGCCTATTTGCCACTGCCCATCCTGGAAGGATTTACTTTCACCACTGTCATCAGCCCTGAGAGGGGTTGTGGTGTAGGGGAGGGCTACTTTGGGCTGCTCCTTGTACACTGGGTAGGTCTATTAGTGGACTAGCCCTGTTTATGTTTTCTCTTCCGTAGTTAGGGGAAGCCGTGTGAGTCCGTAGGTGTGGTCAGGGGAGAGGCAGTGATAAACTAGGTTGGGTGCCACGGGAGCCTGGGCTACCTGCTTGTATAGTTTTCTAGGAATCACTTCTGGAACCAGTTAATTTATCAGTCAGAGTTACAACAGGGGAGAGGTAGCTCACTCAAGTTATAATTCAACGAACGCTTATTTAGAGTAAGGCCGATTGCACAGGCGTAGGTAAGGATAGTACCAAACTCAGCACTGGTAGCAGCAGAGCTGTCATCACCCTGGATCAAAAGGATGAACAGAGGGCAAAGAAGGCAGAACCCAGGAGGGCTTATTGCAGAGCAGCTGCTTCCAGGCAGCCTCATGGGAAGGAAGCAGAGTGTGGATACCTGGCCTTGCCCCCCTCTATACTCTTTCTTGCTGGGTTCTCCAGGACCTGCCGGGAGCAGAAGGTGTGGGAATCCATTGAGAGAATCCCTTCCAGTGAGCTTCCCAAGGCAGGGAGAAGTGTATAAAATGGATAATTGATAGACTAGGCCAGAGAGAAACTCTGATTAGAAAAGTCAGGTAATAATTGGTGGGGGCAAAGCTGGAGCCTGGGTTTTATT